TCGTTGGGGTCTTTGAAGGACACGAAGCCGTAGCCTTTGGTCTTCCCCGAGCGTTTGTCCCGAATCACTTTGGCCTTGAGGAACGACGGGAAACGCCCGAAGGCGCGGCCCAAAGTCTCGTCGTTCACCTCGTTCCCCAAATCCCCGCAGAAAATGCGGAAATCGTCTGAAATTGGGGTGAAAAACCGCGATTTTGGGTTATTTTGGGGTCATTATAGAGTTATAGGATCAATACAGAGTTATGAGATCATGGTGGAGTTTTGGCGCCCGAACAGGGAGCCCAAAGTCTCATCGTTCACCTCGTTCCCCAAATCCCCGCAGAAAATGCGGAAATCGGCTGAAAATGGGGTGAAAAACCGCGATTTTGGGTCATTTTGGGGCCATTTTGGGGTTATGATATCCATTTAGGGTTATAGTGACACTATAAGGTTTTGGCGCCCGAACAGGGAGCCCAAGGTCTCATCGTTCACCTCGTTCCCCAAATCCCCGCAGAAAATGCGGAAATCGTCTGAAAATGGGCGAGAAACCGCGATTTTGGGTCATGTTGGGTCATTTTAGAGCAATTTTGGGTTTATGAGATCCATTTAGGGTTACAGTTCCACTATAAAGGCTTTGGCGCCCGAACAGGAAGCCCAAAGTCTCATCATTCACCTCGTTCCCCAAATCCCCGCAGAAAATGCGGAAATCGTCTGAAATTGGGGTGAAAAACCGCGATTTTGGGTCATTTTGGGGTCATTATAGAGTTATAGGATCAATACAGAGTTATGAGATCATGGTGGAGTTTTGGCGCCCGAACAGGGACCCAAAGTCTCATCGTTCACCTCGTTCCCCAAATCCCCGCAGAAAATGCGGAAATCGTCTGAAAATGGGGCGAAAAACCGCGATTTTGGGTCATTTTGGGTCATTTTGGGTCATTTTGGGGTTATTTTGGGGTTGTAGGGTTACACTTCCACTATCAGGTTATGGCGCCCGAACAGGGAACCAAGCGTCTCATCGTTCACCTCGTTCCCCAAATCACCACAGAAAATGCGGAAATCGTCTGAAAATGGGGCGAAAAAATGTGATTTTGGCTCATTTTGGAGTTATTATATAGAATTACAGAGTCAATATACAATTATGAGATGTTTGTGGGGTTTTGGCGCCCAAACAGGGAGCCCAAAGTCTCAATGTTCACCTCGTTCCCCAAATCCCCACAGAAAATGCAGAAATCGTCTGAAATTGGGGTGAAAACCAGCGATTTTGGGTCATTTTGGGGTTATGGAGTCATTCTAGGATTAAAAAAACCATTAAAAAATCCCAAAGGTCTCAAAAACACCAAAGGCCACAGAACAATCAAAGGTGCCAGCCCAGTCCAGCGTTTCGTCGTTCACCTCGTTACCCAAATCCCCGCAGAAAATGCGGAAATCGTCTGAAATTGGGGTGAAAAACAGCTTTTTGGGGTCATTTTAGAGTAATTTTGGGTTTATGGGGCTGTTATAGGGTTACACTGTCACTAAAAACTTATGGTGCCCAAAGGCGTGGCCCAAAGTCTCAATGTTCACCTTGTTCCCCAAATCCCCACAGAAAATGCGGAAATCGTCTGAAATTGGGGTGAAAAACCGCAATTTTGGGTCATTTTGGGGTCATTATAGAGTTATAGGATCAATACAGAGTTATGAGATCATGGTGGAGTTTTGGCGCCCGAACAGGGAGCCCAAAGTCTCATCATTCACCTCGTTCCCCAAATCCCCGCAGAAAATGCAGAAATCGTCTGAAATTGGGGTGAAAAATGACGATTTTGGGTCATTTTGGGGTTATTTTGGGGTTATAGGGTGTTTATAGGGTTACAGTGACACTATGAGGTTTTGGCACCCGAACAGGGAGCCCAAAGTCTGATCGTTCACCTCATTCTCCAAATCCCCGCAGAAAATGCGGAAATCGTCTGAAATTGGGGTGAAAAAACACGATTTTGGGTCATTTTGGGGTTATGGGGTCATTTTAGCGTTATGAGATCCATTTACGGTTATAGTGACACTATAAAGGCTTTGGCGCCCAAATAGGGAGCCCAAAGTCTCATCGTTCACCTCGTTCCCCAAATCACTGCAGAAAATGGGGAAATCATCCGAAAATGGGGTGAAAAACCATAATTTTGGGTCATTTTGGGATTATGAGGTTTATAGGGTCAATATGGAATTATGGGTTCATTCGGAGGTTATGGGGTCCCAGTCCGGCCCAGCGTCTCATCGTTCACCTCGTTCCCCAAATCCCCGCAGAAAATGCGGAAATCATCTGAAAACGGGGTGAAAACCAGCAATTTTGGGTCATTTTGGGGTCATTATAGAGTTATAGGGTTAAAAGATTGTTATAGGATCAGAAAAATCCCAAAGGTCCCAAAAACCCCAAAGGTCCCATCCCAGCCCAAAGTCTCATCGTTCACCTCGTTCCCCAAATCCCCGCAGAAAATGCGGAAATCATCTGAAAACGGGGCAAAAAACCGCAATTTTGGGTCATTTTTGGTCATTTTAGAGTAATTTTGGGGTTATGAGATCTATATAGGGTTATAATGTCACTATGAGGTTTTGGTGCCTGAACAGGGAGCTCAGTGTTCCATTGTTCACCTCGTTCCCCAAATCCCCGCAGGAAATGCGGAAATTGTCTGAAAATGGGGTGAAAAACCGCGATTTTGGGTCATTTTGGGGTTATTTGGGGGTTATTTTGGGGTTATAGGATGTTTATAGGGTTACAGTGACACTGTAAGGTTTTGGCGCCCGAAGGCGGGGCCCAAAGTCTCATCGTTCACCTCGTTCCCCAAATCCCCACAGAAAATGCGGAAATCGTCTGAAAATGGGGTGAAAAACCACGATTTTGGGTCATTTTGGGGTTATGGGGTTGTTATGGGGCCATTGGATTGCTATGAGGTTATGGGGTCATGGGGACACCTCAAAAATCACCTGGAGACCCCCCCAGTCCCTCCCACTCCATCCCCGTTTGTCCCAGTTCCTTTCTAACTCCTAAATCTCCCATTTTTTACCCTAAAATCTCAATTTTTTGCTCTAAAAACCTCCGGGTTTTTTTACCCCCAGTCTCTCCCAGTTCATCCCAGTCTGTCTCAGGCCTCTCCCAATCCCTCCCAGTTTGTCCCAGTCCACCCCAGTTAATCCCAGTTGGTCCCAGTTTGTTCCAGTCCATTCCAGTTCCCTTTTCACCCCTAAATTGTCCATTATTACTCTCCAAAACCCCCTTTTTCACCCCTAAAATCCTTGTTTTTCACCCTAAAACCCCCCAGGTTTTTTGCCCCCAGTCCCTCCCAGTATAAACCAGTTTGTCCCAGTCCCTCCCAGTTCATCCCAGCTCCCTTTTAACCCCTAAATTTCTCATTTTTACCCCCAAAATCGCCACTTTTACCCCCCAAATCTCCCATTTTCACCCCTAAAATCACTATTTTTCACCCTAAAACCACGGGGTTTTTTTCCTCCCAGTCCTTCCCAGTTTGTCCCAGTCCCTCCCAGTCTGTCCCCGTCCATCCCACTTTATCCCAGTCCATCCCAGTTCCCTTTTAACCCCTAAATCTCCCATTTTTACCCCCAAAATCCCATTTTCACCCCTAAAATCCTCATTTTTTACCCTAAAACAGCTAGGTGTTTTCCTCCCGGTCCATCCCAGTTCCTCCCAGTACCTCCCAGTCCCTCCCAGTTTGTCCCAGTACCTCCCAGTCCATCCCAGTCCCTCCCAGTCCGTACCGGCGTCCCACTCGAGCAGACTGGGATCCTCCCAGCTGCTGCCGGCCGCTGTCCGGATGCAGCGCTTGAGCCGCTCGCCCCGCCCCTTCCGCTTGTCCTCGGCCGCAGGCTCCGCCCCCACCTGATGGACAGCTGTCAATCATCACCTGGACACGCCCACCGACCAAGCGGGACACGCCCACCTTGCCCTAACCACACCCACCCAGGAGGAAGTGCCACAATCCATTCCAAAGTGAGGCCACGCCCACTTTTCAACAGCTCCACCCTCACCTGTCAATCATCTGGACACACCCACAGACCACGCAGGCCACGCCCACCTCATCCTGACCACGCCCACCCAGCAGGAAATGCCCCAATCCATCCCAAAGTGAGGCCACGCCCCCTTTCCCACAGCCCCACCCCTTTTTGTTAGACACCTGTCAATCATGTGGCCCCGCCCACCTGGCATAAGCCACCCCAGCCCATCCAAAAGCGAGGCCACGCCCCCTTTTAGGCAGCCACGCCCCTTCCTGATACACTCATGTCAATCACCTGACCACGCCCACCTCCCTTCTGGCCACGCCCACCCATCTCAGGGGTCACACCCCCTCTTGATATTGACCTGTCAATCATCTGGCCACACCCCCCTAGCCCCTCCCCATTAGCCCCACCCACTTCCAAAGCCCCACCCCTGGCTCTTAGCCCCGCCCATCCAATTTCCCCACCAGCCCATGCTCCACAAGCCCCTCCCCTTTTTAGGCCCCTCCCCCTTTAGCCACACCCACCTCAGGCACAGGGAAGGGCGGGTCCTGTGGGCGTGGCCTGCGCAGTGGGCGTGGTGCCGGCGCCAGGTGGGCGGGGCCGGGGC